CGGTCACACGCGGCCTGTTTTTGTTTGTTCTTTGTTTGGTGTGCCTCAGTAGCACACTTATCACTTCTGCCCTGTGACACGGCAGCAGGAAGCGCGGTCGTTTTTAATCCGGGCCACGGCCGATCCGGCATGAAATTTTGTGAATTTGTTTGAATCATGGTATTGGATGGGGTAGCTGCTTTTTGTTTAACCGCCATCCAAACAACCTGCCTGGCATGGTAGAACCTCAAGAGACATAAGTTTCAGCCAGTATAGCTTGATTAGGTCATTGTGGTGTTCAAGCCCGACCACCACGTCAAGGTAGCAGCTTTCGGTCGGGGAATGGTGTACGAGCTTGCCTTGTAACTGGAAGGTCCTGGAATTGAGCACCAGGGGATGCATACTGCCGATGATCCTCAAACTAGGATGAAACAGCTGTCCAGTACTCCGATGTTGGTTTTCAAAGGTTCTCTAACTGATATCAATCCGAGGTCAAACTCGTATAAAAAAAATAAGAAACACCTGGATTTGAATTTTCAATTTGCAAAAGTATTTCGCTTCTTTTCTCTTTCTTGTTTTCTATACCGTTTCGCAAAGATCTTCATATCTCCTATTAGTAACTTAATCTGCAGTTCTACAATTCAAGATTGTTACACAAGACATCGCACAACACATCAAACTACTTTTGCAAATCGTTGTCAGTAGCCCTCGCACACACATAAACATACCCCAATAATACGTTTTAGTTTACTGCAAATTCTACCTTAAATAAAGAAGAATCACCACAAACATTTTTCAAGTTTCTAAATCATAATTAATATTTTTATAAAGTAGTGCAACAATATAAATCTCCCTTATGTCTTAATTTTACTCCCTTTGGTAGGTTTGAGCGAATCTTGTTTATTATTTTAAAGGATTTTTCGAATGGTTGTGAGTTGATCAGATGCTCTGTCACTGAAATGTATACAGGCTTTCGTTCTCCTTTTACTAGTCAGGCTGGATAGTGTTCATGAGTGCGTTTTTGAAGTTGGTGCATGTACTCAGCTCCGAACGAGCAAGTAAACTGGTATACGCACGTTAAAGTGGCCCAATGTGACAGCTTGTCTTTCGCTTTCTGGCTGAGCAGTTTCTTGCAGAGGCGTTTACGAAAGAATTTTGCCTCAATGTCACTTTTGAATTCTGGATTAAGCAGAAGTATCTTCTTCGGGACGGATTGGACACATTCGGAAGTTTTCTTTGGTTTGGGATTCTTGTCTATGAACCTAGGCGGAAAACTATTTTTCCATCAAGGTTACTCGGAGATTACGCACTTCTCCGTCAATGACATCAATGTGCATATACCAGTTTACTTGCTCGTCTGGAGCTGAGTACATCGGCCGTACCATGCGCTAACTTCAAAACACGCGCTCATGAATACTTTCCAACCTGGCTAGTAAAAGGAGAACGAAAATCTGTCTATAGTTCAGTGACAGAGGATCTGGTTAATTCAGGATATTCAGCGCCATTCAAAAAATCCTTCAAAATAATTTACAAGATTAGATCAAATCCGTCAAAGGGAGTAAAACTAAGACATCTGGGCATAACCGAGGCACCAGCCATCCAAAAGCTCAAATTTCCCTTTGTTTTGTTAGCAGGCTGTTCACTTCTGACCTGTCAAAACACGTCACATTTTCTTAATTGATCCAAAAAAATAAACCATAAGAACGAAATGAGAACAAAATATTTAATTACCAATTAATCAAGTGGGCATGCAAAAAGTAAAGCGTAAGTTGCTTAAAAATAGACTTGTATGTATATTTCCTTGGAAAACAATGGCAACAGCAGAAAACAATAGTTGCTTTGTTTGCCAATGGAATACAATTGAGAAAAGTTAATAAAAACAATAGAATATAAGGAAATAACTGAAAAATATGTTTAAAAAATAGTACTGATCACCTCTTCAGAAGCTGTATTAATTAACTTGCCCCTAGGAACAAAGGAAACGATCATTAATTATTTGGGGTTTGAAAGCCAGTTAATCAATTATATGTGCACAGTAACAGTGATATGGAATTTTTGAGAATTAGTTTGTAAAGAATTGATTTTCCTCAAGTTTGATCACATATTAATGTCAGGCAGAGAACTGCTGAAAACCAACATGGAGTACTGCAGGGCTGTTTAGCCCAAATTTGGGACTGACTTATCCGAAGTACGTATCCATGATCGCCACCTATCTGTTTTCGAGATAGAACTATGCACAGATGTACAGCAGTTCAAGTCCCCACACTCCCTCCATGTAGCACACAAACCAAGAGAAGAAAATGGAAGAAATGCAAAATAGAGACAGTAAACAGGGATATGAGACAAAAGGAATAGTAATAATGACAAACAATATAGTTCCATTCGGTATTATAAGTCACATGGAGTGGGTCCATCTTCGCCAGCCATTGAGAACGATTTTGAGCCATATCACTAATTGTCCCCGGCCATTGGTTTTTACCGTCCCGAGGACCCCAGTCAGGAAGTCTACACCTTCTTACGTGGTTGGCTTAAACTAACTGTTGTGGATTTCATTATCTGATGAAGCCATGTTTTGGTTTGACGACCGCTACGTCTTTTCCAGCCTGACCCTATGTCAGCTAACATTGCCCGTCTGTCGAGGAAGGCGATGGCTAGTGGTGCATGCGTAACACATATCCTAGCCATCTCAGTCGATGTAACTTAACAGCCTCGTCGATTGATTTCCCCTCCTCATTTAGCACTCGGCCGATTTCTAACCTCAATATTGCTCAACTCATTATACCACTTCACACGGGAGATAGAACTCAGGCTGCTATGATCGAAGACAGCTAATCTTTTCATGTCTTCCACTCTCAATGGCCAGGTCTCACAGCCGGCGATAAAGGAGGGCGGAGGGGACTGGTGAGTAGTACACCCTCCCTTTGGTCGATAGCCGGATATCACGTCCATGCCAGGGACGGCGTAAACTGGCATATGTGAAACTAGCCCTCTGTATCCGTGCTGAGACTACGCCTGCGATCAACCCGTTGGAGCTGGCTGATGGTACTTCCCAAATAAGTGAAGCGGTCAACGTGCTCTACCATATCACTTCCTATTTCTAAGCTAGGAGTCAGTGTAGTCCAGTCCCGTAACATCATCTTACATTTGGTGGGAGCAAACAACATGCCAATCATTCGTAGATTGCAGCTCAAGGTGTTCAGAAGAATCTGATTCCCACAACCAAGGATAGAGGCGAGGACGTTGAGGTTACACGGCCAAGCTCGTCGACCATTCAGCCAACTGGGTCGAAATCCAATGGCCCAAGAATTTTAACTTCTATCAATCTGTGATTTCAGCAAGGCCACCAGCAAGTGTCCTCACATCCAACCTGATGCGCCCCCCGAGTGGTCACGACTTTTCACTAGAGCCCATGACAACTTCATTCTGTAACCTGTAATCATTGGTGAACATCGGATTAATTTTCAAGAGGTGGTTTGAAGGCATTTGATTTTTTTCAAGTCCGATAATGGAAAAAAATAGTATTTGATTGATGACAGAATCCAGAACGCCTCCTTCATCTTATTTAGAAACTCGTCAGCTAGACAGTAACATGTATCCTCGCCCCTCCCCTCCCGCAGTGGTTAGTAGTCCCACTGAAACCAGAACTCTTGAATTCAAACACATCCACTAGCCTAGGGAGCCACATAACGAAAATAGCAATAACTGTAAAAACTCATTTTCTAGTTACCATTATTATTATCCTTACTATTATTTCCTTTAATTCCTAGAGGAACATAGGGCTTCAGCTGCACGTCTCCATTCAGTTTGGTTCTCTGCCAACGTTTTCACATGGCTCCAAGTTTGCCCACATGCTTTTATCACCTCTTCACATGACCTCCTCCAAGTCACCCTTGCGCTGATGACCAACTAGCCGCTTCCTATTCTGTCGGGTTCCACTCGAGCGATGGCTTGTCTAGTGTTGTCACTTGATGGTTTCCTCAGAGTATGGCCAATCCATCTCCATTTCTTCCTGCCTATTTGTTTCACAATCAGTTCCCGGTTGGTTCGCTTATCGCCAGAGATCCCTGCTGCTGATGTTTTCTGCCCGGCCATCTGATTTTGAGTATTGAGCGAAGACAACTCTTAATAAAGGTCTGTAGTTTGTTTGAGATGCTCTTTTATGACGCGTCAAGTCTCTGATACGTATAGTAGTACTGACTGACTTCACATTGGAGTTGAAAATCCGAATCTTATTTTTGATGCTGAGTGCTGTTGACCTCCACACAGACTTGAGAGTAATGAAAACTTGTCTTGCTTTTCCGATTTTGGCTTTGATATCCCCGTCAGTTCCGTCCGCCTGTAGATGAAACGATGCTTCCCAGATCGATATGTGAAGGAGGTTGTTTCTTTCAGGTTCCTCCCATTTATGCTGGCTGATTGTCGTCTGTTGTTGTTGCTGCTGTTGGTGTTGGCCAAGAATCTTCATCACCTCTGTTTTATCTATGTTCACCTGAAGTCCTATCTTTGATGATCCTTCTGCCAACTTGTTGCTTTTCATTTGCATATCTACCAGTTTGTGGGAAATCAGACATATATCATCGGCGAAGTCCAGATCCTCCAAGTTTTTTGTGTGAGTCCATTTTATGCCTGTTTCCTCATTGCCCACAACTGTTTATCGCACCATCCAGTCTACTGCAATCAGGAAACTCATTGGCGATAGCAGACAGCCTTGTCTCACTCCCGTCCTCACTTCGAAGGATTCCGTAAGTTTCCCACTGTGGATTATTTGGCATGCAGCATTGTCGTACAATTGTTGGGTGAGATGTATAATTGTTGGCGGCACCCCATGGTAGTATCAAAGTAGTTGCCAAATGACCTCTCGATCGCCGCTGCGCTGTAGAAGGCCTTTTCATAGTCGATGAAGTTGAATGAGATAGAGAGGTGACTGCCATTCCAAACTCTGTTCAATGATGATCCGTAGTGTGGTGATTTGATCGATGCATGACTTGTTTCTCCTGAATCCAGCCTGTTCCGGTAGAAGTTACCATATTTGCGCCGCCAAACTTCCACGTCAATTATGAATACACACACACCTTGTAATAGACATGTGATATGCAATTTATTGTCAGCATGGGATGAAATAGACAACTATATTAGAATTTATTCATGTTATCATAATAATAATAATATTTTCATTTTACAAAAATAAAATATAAAAAAAGTATCATTTGATATAACAATCATAAGGATAACAACAATAACAGTAATAATAATAATCATTATAGCCGAAAGAGTGATAATCAAATTACCCTCGAAAACTTATAATGATACCACTGAACAAAAATATATAAATCATTCATTGTAAAAAACAAAACAAATAGAAAAGGGAGAAAAGTAGTTTGAAAAAACATTTAATGCCTAAAGGATAATTAAGATTCATTCGTAGTTTAAAAAAACAAACAACAATAAATTGGAACCAAGCCTAATGATCACTGGTTTCATATATATGCATGTATAGATTATCTCAACAGAGATAAGGAAAACGATAAGACCAAGCTAATGAAAACAAAAGAAAGCGAATATTCAAAGTCAACTTATCCATTCAGTTAGAAGGGTAACTTGAACACTAATTGATTGATTGATTGATTATTGAAGAAGACGACTTCTAAAGAGTCATTCGAATATATAGTAAAAAAAATATATGTAGAGAGAGAGAGAGAGTAATATGGAATGATTATTTCAATAGAAGAAGCAGAACACATAAAAGCCATCAAGAAAGACTTTCATTGCCTAAGAATCTTTCAACATTGATTAAATCTTTCTGATGAATACAATTCCACTGTGTGTGTGCTTGTCTTATAGGACTAAATGATTATTATTCAAACTGTAGAAGAAAGTAGAATTGGTTTTCCTGTCTCTTCATCGATTTCCAATCGATTAAGGCCACGAATTTCAACAGATTTTAAGCAGGATAAATTCTGAAATATGGAAAAACAAAAGTGCATGTTTATGACAGTGTTGCAACAAAGTAGCAAAAAAAATAAAATAAAGAAGTACACGAATGAACTAAACTTTTGAACAAAGTAAGAACTACAGTTTTTGCATAATGAAGTGGTACCATCTTTTATTTCGTTACCTTCTCGTCAGCTGCTTACAGGTAAAAGACATTATTAAATATATCTACAAAAACAATTTTAACATACTTGTACAGAGTTCATTTTAAACAAAAATTCAGTAATAATATATATATATATGCAATATTAAACACTATTCCGAAGAGTAGTGATTATGCACATTGGAAACTTTTCGGCATTAAGCATTCAGATGAAAGAGAGGTGAAAATATCCAGTTACCAGGATGGGCAAAGAAAAAGACTGATAACTGTTTCTTTCTGTGAACGCACAAATCAGGTTCCAGGGGCTTGAAGGAAATGGCTCCAGCAAACTTAAGGAGAATTGAGCTCTTTTGCTTATTGATAATTTTGAACGACTTTTCGATGTCCACCTCATGACGCGTGTCAACAGTTACCAGTCTTTCTTTGCCTATCCTGGTAACTGGATATTTTCAACTCTCTTTCATCTGAATGCGAAATGCTAAAAGTTTCCATTGTGTATGATTATTATTGTTCGGAACAGTATTTAATGTTGCATATATATATATATATATATATATATATATATATATATATATATATATATATATATATAATTAGTGTGTGCATATACTGATCGATTGATTTTTGTTTAAAATGAACTCTATGCAAGTATGTTAAAACTGTTTATGTAGATATATTTAATAATGTCTTTTACCTGTAAGCAGCTGACGAGAAGGTAACGAAATAAAAGATGGTACCACTTTATTCTGAAAAAACTGTAGTTCTTGCTTTGTTCAAATTCATTAAAGGGAGAAGAAATGTATGAACTAATTTTTTGTAAAACTTTACTGTTCACAAAAGGAAGAGGTGGTGTATTAACAACGCTTAAATTTCTAGTGGAGGTTAATGATCCAGTGTATTTGAATTCAGCAAATCACACTTCAGTTTAATAAGTGCGATTGATTTGGTATTAGAGTAGAGTGAGTGATCTTGTATACATAATTCACGCGTATATAACTTGAATTAAACTTCTCACAGTATTAGAAAGAAGTAATCAAGCTACCGCCCAGTGTGCATACTTTCAGAAATTCAACAATGAATTCTTTCATTCACTTTCCTAATGATTATAAATGTCTACAATTAAGTTTAGATTAATAGTTTATAATTTCACAGGGATAGGGTTATTCACTTCACTGATAATCATTATTATTACTCCCTTTTGATTGTAAGGGAAACACATAGGGTTGCTTCGCAGGCTGTGCAAAATACGTGAAGGATTGATTCGCGAAGAGCAGGCTGGGTTTCGTTCAGGCCGTGGATGCATTGATCATGTGTTCACCCTTCGTCAGTTGTTGGAACACCGCCACACGTATTGCAGGCCAACGATCGTTGTGTTTCTTGATATTAGGGCTGCCTTCGATTCGTTGGACAGAACTGTGCTCTGGAACTGTCTGTTAGAGAGAAGTGTACCTGAGAAATTTGTTAACATCTTGAAAGCCCTATACAGCAACACCTCAGGTAGAGTGAGGGCATACAACCAACTATCATCACTGTTCCTAACCAACCATGGGGGTTAGACAGGGTTGCCCGATCTCTCCATTTCTCTTTAACTTTGACATCGATGACATTCTGGAGTCAACTCTGAAGGATGTGCATGACGGTGGTGTGGATCTGCTATCTGGAGATAAACTTTTCGACCTGGAGTATGCAGACGATATCGTCTTACTGTGCGAGAGCATGCAGGCTGCCCGAATCGCACTTAATCAGTTGGCGATCAGTGTCTGTAAGTATGGTATGTGCTTTGCGCCGTCTAAGTGCAAAGTACTGATACAAGATTGGCAGGAGCCTGTACCTGTACTCACTCTTGTGGGTGAACCACTTGAAGTTATTGACAAGTTTGTGTATCTGGGTAGTTGTGTGAGTGCTGGCAGGGGGTGGCGGATGAGATTTCCAACCATATAATGAAGGCTAGGGTGTCATACTTCAACTTGAGCCACGTCTGGCGCCGTCGCGACGTTAGCCTGGCTACCAAAAGTTGGGTATACAATGCTTCGGTGCGGGCTATCTTGCTCTACTCTTGTTAAACCTGGCCTCTCCGAGTAGGCTGAGGATGTGCGGTGACTCTGCGTGTTCAATCATCGATGTCTCCGCAGGATTGCTTGCGTTCGATGGCATCATCGCATGAGTAACTCTGAGGTTCGGTGGCGTGTATTTGAACACAGTGGAGATCCCCATTCATTGAGTGTCGTCATCTGAAGACACCGGCTCCGGTGGCTTGGACATGTGCTGCGAATGTCATCCCAGAGGCTTCTGTACATGTCTCTGTTCGCTAACCCTGGGACGGAATGGAAAAGGCGGAGAGGTAGTCAGTCCATGAAGTGGCGTCGTGGGATGAAGGATTTTTGTACTAGATTAGCATCGGTTGGTGTGTCACGACTCCCTGGTTGGGGTCCGCGAGATAGCTCGAATCGATGCCTCGAAACGTTATCGGATATGGCCAAGAATCGTAATCAAGGACGAACGTGTTGCAATTTCCTTCTTTCTTCTCTTCCCGATGATAGTAAACGAATACTGTTTGAACTTGTTAAGCATGACTGTTTTCCTTCCAGATGAAGTTCTTTATCCGTTCTGTACTTATATTTTTTACTTTTGATCTGTGTTGTTTTATTATTATTGTGTGGTGCATTCTTCACGGTGCCATAAATAATATAAATCAGTAACACATTTCCATTTTGATCCTCTTCTCTGCAATCCACTTCACCTAGCTCTATTGATTGCCCATAAGTTTTCATTCCCTTCTCTCATACGATCCCCTCCATGTCAACCTTGGGTCAATGTCCAACAATATATATATATATATATATATATATATATATATTGTTGGTCTTACATACCCAAGATGACCCAAGTCAGTGAGTCTGTGGTTTTTGTTAACTATTTTTCACAATGATACTACTGCTACGGCTTTTCTGTTACTGTTGTTGTCACTGCCCTCCTTCCTGTTGTGAATTTTTATTTTCCTTTGCTGGTGTTGTTCTGACTGCTTTATTCCTTGTTTTCCCTATTCTGAAGGGAGCAACCCATAAAGTCGCTCCTCTGCAAACTATACATACATGTAACAACTCCCTTCTCAGGCGTGAGGCAAGCAAACCCCCCCCTGTAAACGAAGCTGCTACAGAAACTACAGGTTCTTGGTTGGTTCACTTTACGGAGTTCCTTGATGTTGATCTTTTCAGAGCATTTAAACTTCAGTAGGAAGTAAAGGCAGTCGTTGACGAATGTCTGGAGTAGCCTATTGGGAAGGCTTTTTTCGTGAAACACCAAGTCTCAGAACCATATAAGAGGTTAAATTGAATTATCGATCTTTTCTTCTAATTTTAGAATGATAAATATGAAATATGGGAGATTTCACTCTAAAGTGTTTCTCTTGAATTTTACTCATTCCTTCAGTATATGATCGAGTCAAAAAAATATATTGCACCAAATAACTGGTAAGCGGGGGTATATTTAAATCAGTTCAATTTTAGCACTAAGGATAGGTAATATAATTCAGAGTAAACGAATAGGTTAATTGCATGTGGAGAATTACCAATGTAATCAAATTAGTTAAAACAATTATAACAAGCTTAAAGGTATTTACACAGAATATTGATTACAAAACGGATTGTTATAAAAGCAACTAAATTCTATTTGCTTTAATCACTATAACTCTGTCTGTTTGTTTTCACCATAGAACTTTGCACTGATGTACAGCAGTTCAAGTCCCCACACTCCCTCCATGTAGCACACAAACCAAGAGAAGAAAATGGAAGAAATGCAAAATAGAGACAGTAAACAGGGATATGAGACAAAAGGAATAGTAATAATGACAAACAATATAGTTCCATTCGGTATTATAAGTCACATGGAGTGGGTCCATCTTCGCCAGCCATTGAGAACGATTTTGAGCCATATCACCAATTGTCCCCGGCCATTGGTTTTTACCATCCCGAGGACCCCAGTCAGGAAGTCTACACGTTGTTACGTGGTTGGCTTAAACTAACTGTTGTGGATTTCATTATCTGATGAAGCCATGTTTTGGTTTGACGACCGCTAGGTCTTTTCCAGCCTGACCCTATGTCAGCTAACATTGCCCGTCTGTCGAGGAAGGCGATGGCTAGTGGTGCATGCGTAACACATATCCTAGCCATCTCAGTCGACGTAACTTAACAGCCTCGTCGATTGATTTCCCCTCCTCATTTAGCACTCAACCGATTCCTAACCTCAATATTGCTGACCTTATGATACCACTTTATACGGGAGAACTCTGACTGTGAGCATGAGCATTTTCCTCTTCATACTGAGAAGCAAAACTCGACGACATCATCAAATAGAGCAGCCAAATGTAATGGTCTGAACCTATAAGTGTCATAGCGCCGTGGCGATGAACTACAAACCAGAATGACTCAAATGTTAGTCAGAACAGGGAATACACTGAGAAATTTACTGACAAATCACTAGCGACTAAAAGATGAACAACTAGTGAAGACGAAGGTATGTCGTTAGTGGAAAGATAAGATACACAAAATAACTGTTCAGTATAAATTTGTAGTGTGCGTCGGTAGAATGCTCGTCAACGACGCCACACGTGGTCAGGTAAATAGGGAATGTTGGGCGTGAGACTAGCGACCCCGCCCTGTAAAAATAAAACCACTACTACTGTAAATTCAAAGCTTAAATTTGAAGCCCTGTGTTCTACAAGGAATGAGAAGGTATAAAATAAAAATAATTTTAAAAAATAAATTTACATACTAAAGACGTGCTATAATTCAGATACATCCGTGTAAGTCACATATTGTCAGCTACTAGATAATCTTAACTTACTGTGAGAAAAGTACAATGAAAGTCGCATAATCAAAACCACCAAGTCAATTCGAATCTATGGTAAAGCGTTCGAAGTGATTGACTTATATATGCTTTATAAACAACTTAAAGCAATTGGGTCATATACTCCTTAGCTTTATGGCCTTCCGAAGATCCACAAAACTGGGAACCCACTGAGATCGATCTCATATATATCGAATTCTCCGTACCATAAAATCGCCAAATGGATTACAGAGGTCCTTACGCCTGTAAGAGACTCATTATCAAATAATTCTGTAAAAAGTTCATTTGATCTGACAGATATGCTAGACACCTTGAAGATTAAGGAAAAGGTTATGTGTTCAATTGACATAGAATCTTTATTCACCAATGTTCCCTTTCATGAAACTGTTGATTTCAATTGGGATTACCTCACAAGCAATGGGATACAGTTACCTATTCCTGTAACTTACGTCAAAGACATCATCTTAATGTGTACAGAAAATATTTGATTCACCTTCCAAGAAAAGGCATACAAACAAATTGATGGTGTTGCGATGGTTAGCCCTCTTGGGCCCCTGATAGCAGATATTTTCATGTCGAAATTGGAGAGACAAATGCAAGGTATGCTTGCAGAATTTATGCTGTATAAACGTTATGTAGATGATACTCTCATTATCGGTAATAATAGTAAATTTATTGAAAACTTTATTACCCTATTTAATCATAATCATCCAAATATTCGAGTTACTTCCGAACTAGAATCGAATAACAAACTCGGTTTCCTGGATATTGCCATGACTAGGAGAGATGATGGAACGATTCAACGATCTATTTTTCGTAAACAGACATGGAGTGGACAATATCTTCATTTCAACAGTTTTGTTCCTATCCAGTATTAACGTTCCCTAGTGAAACGTTCGTTCTCAAGGGCCCGAAAAATATCCACGAGTGACACATTGATGGATCGGCTTTGACATACACATTCAGTTTTATTAGCTAATGGTTATCCGGAGAACTTTATCACTTGTCACAGCAAAGATAGCCCACATCTCGAAAAGACAGCTTCTGTACCAAAGAAAGCTATCTTTATTAACCTGCCATTCAAGGGCGACCAATTTATGCAGTTGACAGCTCAAAGACTTCGGTCAGCCATCAAACGCACATTCTACGCCGCATCTCTTTCCCTTACACGCCGAATATTTTCTATCCCAGTACCAATGATTAAAGGACGAAATTCTGTGGACTCTGCTTCAAACTGTATCTACAAGTTCACCTGCAGTTGCGGTGACATCTATATAGGTAGAACCAACAGAATGTTCCAGTGTCGTCGAAAAGAACATGTTCCAAAATGGCTACTAAATCATATCGAAAATCCTAACGCGATTAATCTTATTAGAAATCCAGCATTATCCGTTGCAAAACACTTATTAATGTCAGGTCACAAAATCAATATTAATGGATGCTTCACAATTATCTCATTAAACTCCAATTCAAGGTTGTCGGAGGCGATGGAAGCACTGTGGACAAATCAAATACAGCCTAAACTCTATGTACCAAAAACAATATACTTCAACCTTCGCCTATTATGGACTACTTGACCTATTTAAATATGATAGGTCATTAGTATATACTTTTGTTTTATATAACTGATTAATTGTCATGCATTTTATTCTATTATTATCGTGAACCATGTTAGTTGTAAAGCTGTCGTAAACAAACTACGAAATGATATCATCTCGCCAAATTTGTCTTCTTAATGCCTTATTCAAATAACATATGCTAATAAAATTCTTTTCCAGGCAAGCCAGCGACTATAGTAACTATGACTACTTGTCAGCATATGTAAGCAACAGTAATTGACATGGTCGTATATATTTCTCTAAAAAGTGATACGGCGTGTATATTATTAACAAACCAAGTGTTCATAAGCTATCAGTTGTGCCCACACAGAGTTCCAAAAACCTCATTTCACACTATAATAAGCACACTAAAGATGTCTAGAAGGACAAAAGAAGCTTTGCAATTTAATCATCCGGTTCAGAGAAAATAACCACATCAAAAAAAAACACTCAAACCGAGACACAAAATGTTTATTATTTCGAAGAAGGAATGCATTTAGAACATCATATGGTTATTAATACTATATTTTTGTGTGCTATATGCAGCAATGTTACTTAACATTAGAATAAATAAGCCTTCTGTAATGCTAACTTATTAACTTATCATCAAATGAACAGAAATATTGGTTGGTTACAGGATTTCATCATGAGCTGACATTGGTTAGAGAACCATTGGAAAGCCTGGGAGTACAGGATATCTGTTTCGTCTCAGTTTGGGACTCTTCATCAGTACGCACCCACCGGGATTCAAACTCAGGACCTTCTGGTCACAATAAATCACTGAATTTTATCCATCTCATAACCAGAAGATCCTGGTTTCGATCCCCAGTAGGTTTCTAGACGCGTGCTACTGAAACTAGGATGAAACAGCTGTCCAACACTCCAAGGTGGTTTTCCAATGGTTCTCCAACCGATATCAGCTCATGATGAAATCCTGTAACCAATCAACCAAATCCCAACAAACCAATACTTGAATAGAAATATTGGTGTTTATATGTCTACCAACAACGGGACTCCACACACACAGGAAGTGTCTGTCTGTCTGTTTTCGACATAGAACTTTGCACAAATGTGCCGCAGTTCAAGTCGCCACACTCCAAGTAGCACGCGAAGCAAGAGAAGAAAGAAGGAAGTGTAATAAATATTGGATGAAAGAAACTCACTTCACCATCATAGGTAATCAAAGGGGAAATTTCAATCAAGGCTTTATCATAAACACCATCCTGATGTCCTCCGTTTCCATTGGATACAGCGTAACTGTCATTTATCAGTATAGCACCAGCACTTTTTGCCAGTTGAGTATGATAATTTAATAAATCATTGCGAGCTGTTTTTGGACAATCTTTTAGTGAACCTGGTCCATTTTTAATAGGAGAAAATTGTTCATTTCGTGGAACTTCCCAAATGAAAAATCGTCTTTAAGAGAGTGAAAGTATTCAAAATAAAAAAATCTTAATTTTAAAATCTACCTAATATGTATCAAGAATTATAAATCAGAGTTAACGTGTAGAAATATACTCAACATAGGGTTATTCTTAGGAAGAAAATTAAGCGGTCGCAGAACCGTTTACACTTGTTTTACACAACTACAAAATAGCCATTGGTGTTTACGAAATGGAACTCGTAAGCACAATATCGGCGCAAAGAACTTAAAACATATATATAAATACATATTACAGTTTCGTTTAGTTCCTAGAGGAACATAGGGCTTCAGTTGCATGTTTCCATTGAGTTCGGTTCTCTGCCAACCGTTTCACTTGGCTCTACGTCTGCCCACATGCTTTCATCTCCTCTTCAAATGACCTCCTCCATGTACCCTATTACTGACGACCTAATCGCCACTTCCCGTTTGGGTTCCAGTCGAGAGATGACCTGGCGTATGATGTCCCTTGATGGCTTGTTTTCTCAGAGTATGGCCAATCCACCTCCATTCCTCCTGCTTATTTGTTGCACAATCGGTTCGTACTGGGTTGGTTCGCTCCCAGAGATCGATCCTAATGCTGATCAACTCTGGCCGTCTGATCTTGAGTAGTATTGAGCGAAGACAGCTGTTGACAGAGGTCTGTAGTTTGTTCAAAGTGCCCTCCGTGACGCGCCGGCCAAGTCTCTGATCCATAAAGTATCACTAACTCCACATTGGAGTTGAAAATCCAGATCTTATCTTCATTTTCATGCTGAGTGCTGTTGGTATCCACACAGACTTGAGAGAAATGAAAGCTTGCTTGCCTTGCTTTACTCATCCTTGCCTTGATGATATCCTCGTCAGTTCCGTCCGCCTGTAGTTGAAACGATGCTTGCCAGGTAGGTGGGTAGGTTGATGAGGTTGCTTCTTTCGTATTTCTCTCATGTATCCTGGCTGTTTGTTGTCTGTTGTTGTTGCTGTTGCCGCGAGTTAGGAAACTTCATCACCTCTGTCCCCACCTTCTCTATGTTTGCCTGAAGTCCTATCTTCTCTGAATGCTACTTCTGCCAACTTGTTGCTTTTCACTTGCATATCTTCCGATTTGTGAGAAACCAGATGCATATATGTCATTGGCAAAGTCCACATCCTCCAAATACTTTGTGTTAGGCCATTTTATGCCTGTCTCCTCGCTGCCCACCGCTGTCCGTTGTATTATTCAGTCTACCGCCCACAATCGGGAAATTAATCATTGGAGATAGTAGGCAACCAACCAGCCGGCCTTGTCTTAAACCCGTATTCACTTCTTCGAAGGATTCCGAAACTTTACCACTGTGGATTATTTGGCATGCAGCATTGTCGTACAACTTTTGGGTGAGATGTATAATTGTTGGCGGTGAAGTAGTTTCCATATCACCTCCCGATCGACGCTGCGCTGTAGAAGGCCTTTTCAAAGTCGATGAAATTGAGTGAGGTAGAGAGGTGACTGTCAAACTGTGTTCAATGATGATCCGTAATGTTGCGATTTGACCGATGCATGACTTGTTCCACCTGAATCCAGCCTGTTCCGGTCAGTCTTATATATATATATATATATATACATATATATAGAGACAATTATTTAAAAGACCTTAAGATATTGTGAGATTAAAACAATGAGTATGATTAACGAAAATAGCATAATACATTATGTTGTACTACTGAAAATGCGATAATTGAAAAAAAATGTGGGAGTAGTAGAGGCATATTTGCAGGCAGTTAAGTTTTATCAAAGATGAAAGTAACATAGTTGGTACACGATCATTAACAATTCTCGCCTGAGGTTGCGTCTTTGAGAGCTGCAGAAATATATATTAAACATTTTTGTCCTACCCTACCCAGATGGATTTCATCGGCAGACCAAATCGCCTTAATCACTTTGCACTTTATAATATGAAATATGAGTCGGTGGCTCAGTGGTGAAATTCTAGCCGACCATTCGTATGGTTTTGGCTCGATTCTCGTCCGCTTACACACATACACCTAATTTACAAGCTAAGTAGTAAGCGCAGAAAAGAGGAAAGGCTGTGTGTGCTTGTTAGGCTAGCTACCTCTCTCCGTAAGAACAACACCAGTGCTTCTGGAACTTTAAAGAGTGAAGCTCTACATTCCTATCAGATTCAATGACATCGGTTTTATTCGTAGTATTAGTAGTTTATCACTTTTCGGTGGAACACTATAATGGGATATACACAAGAATGGAAAATTCACTTAGTTATTTCAGTTGTCAGATTTCGTTCGATGAGTTTTTGGCCTTCATCAGTATGCCCCCACAACCCCACCAGGGGTCGAACCCGGGACCTTTAGGTTACGAGACCAAGCTTCTTGACGGTTCAGGCATTTGGCGGGGGGGAGGTATTACCGCCTAAAAAGATGCAACTCTAAGATTTAATCATACTTCCTAGTTTTTAGATTGTCAGTTGTCCCATCTCCATTTCGTCTGCCATATATTATTCGTAATTAGTGGTGTGATGTACTCATGTCATCATACTGTAACGGTTGTGACCTTGATAATGAATGGAATAAACGATAATCGCATGATAAGAAAATACAATCAGTCAGAGAGTCAAAAACCACTGATCAAACTAATTTGGCAATGTCTATCTTTACTATAAATGCATAAAAGTAATATATATATATATATATATATATATATATATATATATATATATATATATATTTCACTCACTTAGCAAATGGGAAAATATCGAAAGCAAATTTTTCAAACTTCAATGCATTTGGTTTTTGAGGCACTATTTGTTCGCCTGTTTGTAAATCTATACAACTGACTTTCTTTTGAGCACGATGATATTTCATCTGCATTTGAATATCGTCTTGACAAACACGTTCCAAAAATGATCTTGTCATGAAATGTACACAAATATTACCATGACTATAGACTAAACGACTATCATTATTTGCAGGTGATACGTTTTTGCCATTATTTGTTGTTTTTGAATGACATAGGTCATTTTGCTGTTTACATTGATCTACGCGTAATGATGCCATTTCAGGAGTGATTTCACTATATTCTAAAACCTAATGTTGAAATTTAAAAAAACAAACTCGATGAGAAAAAGACATTTCTTTGAAAGTCAAAGTAACTTAATGTACAGTAGACAGGCATAGGTAGTGCAATAGTTACTAATGAAAACAATACACATATTTCAATGAAGAGTCGCTTTTCGCCAGCGAATTCATTGACTTAGCTGTACAATCGGAATTATATATACTCATTTTTGGATGTGTGTGTGTGTGTGTTTGTGTGTACGATAGGTTTGTCCGATAGGAAAAGAGTAAGTTAGGGTTATTATTCTCAAGACATTTCGAAAATGTGATGAGTAATCAAATTGTAACCAGGGTTGGCGTTGGGATGGGATGAAGATTAGTAAGAGGGTAGTGGTGATGCGTTGTCAAGAAAACAAAAAAAAACATAATTATTCAATTAAATTTTAGATTTTCCCGTCGATTGATTAAACCTAAGTGCTCGGTCTCAGGTTGACGTATCGGCTTCTTGTGCAGATGCTACGACGATGTCTGGGCATTTAATTAGAATCTAATTGGTGGATGGCGACTAGCAGTGCAATCCAGGATGCGCATTTCGTCCTATTTGGGACTCATCATCTGGGTGCGCCTGCACTTCAGTCCAATCGATCGACAGGAAAATCTAAAATTCAATTAAATAACTAATACGACCCGTTGCACAAGAGGTGGCTTTCGTGGACCAAGTGGTCTAGTGGATAACGCTTTGGCGTTTTTGAAACTGTGGACACTAGGTTCGAGCCTCGGTGGGAACAACAGCATCACTCACTGGGGAATGCAGGTACATCTAGGTGATGAGTCCCAAATAGGTCGAAATGCGCATCCTAGATTCCACTGCTAGTCACCATCCACCAATTAAACATAATTATTAATGTTAATCACCACATAAAAGCGGTTGATTAAGCGTAATACATTTACTCATCTGGTCACTTTTATGTGCATATATATCAGTTCACCTGTTACTATGAAAGCCAGGTACACTGGTTATTCGACGCGTATCCTGTCCAAAAGATTTAGAGAACACAATCGCACATTGGCTAAAATAAAGTAATAGTGGCTACATAAGCAGTTTGATCATCGAACATCTCGTCAACACTGGTCATTGTATCTCAACAAACACATTCTTTAAAGTGACATACAAAGTGAAGAACAATCTACCAAAGGCAATACGCTTTCTTCTCTTCTGTATTGCTGAAGCCTTAGTCATTCAGGTGGAAAAACCAGAGTTATGCATACAAAAGAAAATTATCCAACCACTTCTACTATCATGGTGACAACCGTGTTGACTTCTACTGACTTGATATTTGCATGCTTGACTTTTTTTGTTTCCAAACCCTTATAACATTTGTAATTTTTAGAACTCTTACATAATTTCATTATTTACATTTGTTTCTACGTGCATCCTAACAACAACTCACTCATTAAAGTATTCATCTCATAAGGGAACTGTATTACGCTTATCAAACTTCTTTTATGTGGTGATTAACATTGATAACTATGGTTTTCATCATGAGGTGACATTAGTTAGAGAACCATTGGAAAACCTGGGAGTACTGGACAGCAGCTGTTTCATCCTAGTTCTAGACTCTTCATCAGTAGGCACCCACCGGTTACAAGGCGAGCTCGTAAACCATTAAGCCACTGGGACCCGATCTAATGGCCCATGAATTCTAACTTCTAACACTTGAATATGTTTGTTTTTGTTTGTTTTTTTGGCAACGCATTACCACTACCCTCTCACCAATCTTCATCCCATCCCAGCCTTGGTTACAGTTTGGTTACTCATCACATTTTCGAAATGTCTTGACAATAATAACCCTAACTGACTTTTATTCTTATCGGACAAACCTATCGTACACACAAACACACACACACATCCAAAAATAGTTATATGTAATTCCGATTGTACAGCTGAATGAATGAATTCACAGGCGAAAAGAGACTCTTCATTGAAATATGTGTTTTTTTTTCATTAATGTATGGATGGGGATTATTCATGAATTAAACAGTTATTATATTCATTCAAACGAACCCAGAGACGACAGCAAATATGCTGACTCCACTATTGCGAAAGGTTTGGAAGGAGGGAAAGGTGCCTACTGACTGGAGGAAAGGTTACCTCGTGAAACTACCAAAGAAGGGCGACTTACGCCTCACTCTGCAAGAACTGGAGAGGAATCATGCTCCTGTCGACGCCAAGTAAAATTCCGAGTCGCATCATCCTGGAGAGAATAACGGACGCACTGGATACAGAATTCCGACCAGAACAAGCTGGATTTAGGAAGGGCGAATCATGTTCTGAGCAAATTGCAACTCTACGCATCATCACCACAGAACTTATCATGGAATGGCAATCAAACCTGTGCCTCAACTTTATAGACTTTGAAAAGGCCTTCGGCAGCGTTGATGGTTAAGTAATTTGGAAACTACTCGAGTACTACGGCGTACCCCGAATATTCATCAACCTTATTCAACGGCTGTACGACAACGGAATATGTCAAGTGATCCACAACGGAAAACTCAGCGAGGCGTTTGGTGTAAACACAGGAAGGAGTCAGACAAGGGTGGTTATTATCACCAATCAATAATATTCCTAATTGTGGTGGACTGACTGGATTATGCGTCAGATAGTGGGAAACGAGAAGACAGGGATATCCTGGACCGACGTGAAGAACCTAGAAGACCTGGATTTCGCGCGTGCATGATTTATTTTCTATAGTTTGGTTTGTAAGGGTTAGCTATGTTTTTACAAGTTGATCACGGATTGATATCAGTTAGAGAACCATTGAAAACCAGGGAGTATTGGACAGCCGCTGTTTCATCCTAGCTTGGGAATCATCGGTAGTTCGCACCCACAGGGATTCGAACTCGTAAAACATAACTAACCCTTACAAACCAAACTATAGAAAATTAATCTGATGCTCGTTAGTGACTTGCTACAGGTTGAAGTTTCCTGAGTTCTAGTGAGAAGTCGTGACCAATGGGGCCCGATTAGATGTCACGTGTGTGGATGGATGTCCCACCAACGACAATGGTTAGGGTCGCGCTAAATCAGGAATCGGTAGAAGTCACAATTCATGAGCCATTCAGTCGGGTCCCGGTGGTTGAATGGCATACGAGCTTGCCTTGTAATCGGAAGGTCCTGGGTTCGAATACCAATGGGTGCTTACTGTCGATGATTCCCAAACTAGAATGAAACAGCAGCTGCCCAGTACTCCCTGGTTTTCAATGGATGATTTATGTCTCATGTCATACAAAATCGAAGACTTAGGAGCGAAAACCAACAAACTGGTCGAAGAAGCAGACAGTGAAGACAGGACTCCAGGTGAACATAGACAAGACGAAGGTTATGAAAATAACCAGCCAACCAACCAACAACAACAACAGCAACATCCAGCGCCAATCACCATCAACGGGAGGGATTTGAAAGAGGTTACTTCATTCATTCACTTATCTAGCATTTAGCATTGTCTCAACTATAGGTAGTCGGAACGGACGAGGATGTCAAATCGAGCGAGAATCGGGAAGGCGAGAAACACATTCATCAACCTGAAACAACCAATCTGGAAATCGTCGTCACTCAGCCAGCATCAGGAACATAATTCCGTCGGATTTTCAATACAAACGTCAAGTCAGTCAGTTCTTCTATACGGATGAAATTTTGGCGGTTCAAAAAGAATATTTCTAACAGGTTGCAAACCTTTATCAACAACTGTCTTCGCTGGCTTTATACTGAAGACTAAATGGCCGGGCCGGAAAGAATCACCAACAAGAAACTATGGGAACAAACAAACAAAACAAGAACCAATCGCCAACCAACAAATATGCAAAAGAAAGTGGAGATGGATTGGACACTCGCAACTGAGGAGGCCGCTCGGTGACATCGCGCGCGCGTCAGGCCATTGCTCGAGTGGAACCAGGACTAAATGGAAGCGGCGAGTGGGACGTGAGTGCAAGGGTGACATAGAGGAGATCGTGTGAAGAGGAGTTGAAACAGTATGGACTAAGGTGGATGCATGTGAAAAGTACAGCGGTAGAAGACAGAAGCAAGTGTAGACGTGCAGTTGAAGCCCTATGTTCCACTAGGTACCCAAGGGAACAATAATAATAAATAATATTCATTTAAAACAGGAAAATGGCTATTAAATCAGTGCTGAAACTAGAGTAGAGAAACGATTAAAATATTAGTTTAAATTTTAAGTGAGAATGTAATTAGCATTGCTAATTACTAATTAATTGCTATGCTATGCTAATTACATTCTCACTTAAAATTTAAACTAATATTTTAATATTCTAAACACCTTGAACAGCAATCTACGAATGTTTGGCATGCGATTCGCTCCCGCCAAATGCAAGATGATGTTACAGGACTGGACTACATCGACGCCTAGTTTAAAAATAGGAAGTGAAGTGGTAGAGCACGTTGACCGCTTCACTTATTTGGGAAGTACCATCAGCCCCAACGGGTTGATCTCTGACGAAATCTCAGCACGAATACAAGGGGCTCGTTTCGCATTTGTTAGTTTACGCCGACTCTGGCGTAGACGAGATGTTCGACTATCGACCAAAGGGCGGGTGTACTGCTCATCAGTCCGCTCCGTCCTCCTTTATGGTTGTGAGACCTGGTCACTGAGAGTGGAAGACATGAAAAGACTAGCTGTCTTTGATCATAGGTGCCTGCGTTTTATTTCCCGTGTAAAGTGGCATAATTAGGTGAGCAACATGGAGGTTAGGCGTAGAGTTCTAGGTAAACAGGGGAAATCAATCGACGAAGTCGTGAAGCTACATCGACTGAGATGGTTAGGACATGTGTTACGTATGCCAAGTCATCGCCTCCCTCGACGAGCAATGTTAGCGGATATAGGGTCAGGCTGGAAAAAAGCTAGCGGCGGTCAAACAAAAACTTGGCATCAGTCAATGAAATCCACAACAGTTGGTCTTAGCCACGTAGGAAGGTGTAGACTTCCAGGCTGGGGTCCTCGGGACGGCAAAAAGCTATGGTTGGAAACAATTGGTGACATGGCTCAAAATCGTTCTCAGTGGCGCAGATGCATCCACTCCCTGTGACTTATGATCTTCAATGAAATTGTTTTGTATTTCTTTATTACTCCTTTGTCTCACACCTCTGCTCACTGTTTCTATTATGCTTTTCTTGTACTTTCTTCTCTTGCTTCGCGTGCTACACGGAATGTGGCGACTTGAACTTCCGCACATTTGTGCAAAGTTCTATGTCGAAAACAGACAGACAGACAGAATTAGCATTGCAGAGATCAATGTTTCAACTTTAAATATCATTTCTGTGAAATCAGAAAAAGTTTACCAACTCAATCTATTTGAAATGAAGTAAAACGAAATCTATTTGAAATAATGTCAGTTGATAAAAACCCAGTCGAAGTTCTTAAAATATATCGTCTATTAAACAGTCAGTTTACATGCTTCTATTCGCCAAATTAAACCTACATAAAAATAGAAACCACAGCTGAAAAAATGAATTCTGATACGAAATTACAAATCCAGTTTTAGGACATTATACCGCACAAAAATTAGTTTTCCAAAGTTGTTTCTCAACAGCTATATATATATATATATATATATATATATATATATATATTGTTTTGTATTGCCTGGGCCGAAATATCTCCTACTGTTAATGAGTATTCACTAAGAAAAAGTGAGACTATGATATATGAATAACTTTCAGCATACCCTCCAGTTCTACAACGAGACACTTTTGACTTGAATAACTCATTGAATTAGCTGCTGAGTGCAGCTTTTCGTAATTTCTAAAAAACATTAATAATCACTTAGGTTCAAGGCATTATTAGTTAGCGAACCATCCAAGACATATAAATCTAAGTGCAGAGTTTTCAGTAGATTCATCGTAAATATCCAATATCAGGTAAAAAAATTAAATAATTGCATGGAGGATTTCACCATGAGCTGACATCAGTCAGAGAATCACTGGAAAACCTGGGAGTACTGGACAACTGTTTCGTCAGGCTATTTTGGGACTCTTCATCAGTACGCACCCACTGGGGTTCGAACCCAGGACCTTCTGGTTACAAGGCGAGCTCGTAGACCATTGAGTCACTGAGGCCCATTCCAATGGTCCTTGAATTCTAACTTCTGCCAATTTATGACATAGCGCGACCACTTCGCAATGTCTTCTTCGATGAGTTACTGCCTCACCTTCAACCTGCTATACCCTACTGGTCACGGCTTCCCACTAGAACCCAGGTTAACTGCCTGAATAGGGCCAGTCACTAGTGAGCAATCAATACTTGAAAATTAAATAATTACTTTTCAGAAGATTTAAGGACAGGTGAAATTCTTCGCATGTGTCAATTTTGAAAGTTGCTGAAAATAGAACGTTTGCAAGAATGATGATCATTAATACAATGCTATTTTTAAAATCTGACATACTGGATGCCATCAGTTTTTTGATAAGCAATGGAATGACAGGTAAGTCACAGGAGCCCAGGGGAAAGATAATAGATTGTCACACTTCGCTTATGTTTAGGCATTTTTTTAGTTTTCCTTTACGTTCCCAGTGGAACATAGAGGGCCTTCAAGCTAGAGCCAGCTTGAAGCTTCGGTGGCAGTGGTGTTTTATTTTTACGGGATGGGTTTGCTAGTCTCATGTTCAACCTTCCCCCTTTACCAGTCTTATTACTTGTCTAGCGAGGTTTAGGAGTGCGTCGGTGGCCGGCGATTGAACCCTGGCCCACATGCGTGGTTGGAGAGCATTCTACCGCTGTGACACCGAAATATGTTAACTGGATATCTTGCAACAACATTATACCAGATCATTAAACTCTCATCCCAAAGATGCAGAGAATGTCAAACAGTAGATAGAGAGAAAGTAATCTACCCTGTATAGGCTAGTGAATGGACTTAAATCAATCATTTAAATAAAATAGGCGCACAACACAAAAGTCCATAAGCCTAATATGTATTAACTCACTTGATACCGACCATTCACAACGCCAACAACTCCAATCGCTTCCTCTGGATCCAGTTTTTGAACAACTTCAGCTCCACAATCTGCACTATTCTCAATACAAAAGCCTATAAAGTGTAGATCTGGAAGTTTCACTAGAATATTATCAACACAATAAATTTGTACATATTCTATTCCCCTTGATTTCATATCATTCAGAATGCCACGATCATTAAGAGCTCTGTACAAACCGCCATTTCCATCTGATGAAAAGAAACAGCAGAAATGTATTCATCAGTCAGTTGAAAATTAGTCACCTAAGCTTTAGAGTTCATCTGTAGAAATATTACTTCTTCAGATAAAGGCTAATTAGTTCTGAACACTTGGCAGGCATTCGATGGAGAGTAACTTACTGTACTACAGAGTGCCGCTGACAATTATACATCTCATCCAACAGTTGTACGACAATGCTGCACGTCAAGTAATCCACAGCGAGAAACTTACAGAATCCTTCAAAGTGAAGACAGGAGTAAGACAAGGCTGTCTACTATCGCCAATGATTTTCCTGATTATGAGCGGTAGACTGGATAATGCGACAGCCAGCGGCGGGGAACCCTCAAAAAACTTGGGGGATTTAGACTTCGCCGATGACATATATGCATCTGGTTTCCCACAAATTCGAAGATATGCAAGTGAAAAGCAGTAAGTTGGCAGAAAAAGCATCCAGAGAAGATAGGACTTCAGGTGAACATAGAGAAGGTGGAGACAGAGATGATGAAGATTTCTGGCCAACAGCGACAGTGACAGCAACAACAACAATCAGCACAAATGGGAGAAATCTGAAAGAAGCAACCTCCTGCACCTACCCACGCACCTGGGAAGCATCGTTTCAACTACAGGCGGACGGAACTGATGAGGATATCAAACCAAGGATCGGAAAAACAAGACAGGCTTTCATTACTCCTAAGTCTGTGTGGAGGTCAACAGCACTCAGCATCAAAAATAAGATCCGGATCTTCAACTCCAATGTGAAGTCAGTGCCACTATACGGATTAGAGACTTGGCGCGTCATAAAGAGCACCTCAAACAAACTACAGACTTTCATCAACAGCTGTCTTCGCTCAATACCCAAGATCAGATGGCCAGAAAAGATCAGCAATAGGCATCTCCGGGAGCAAACCAACCAGGAACCGATTGTGCAACAAATATGCAGGACGAAATGGAGGTGGATTGGCTGGCCATACTCTGAGGAAACCATCAAGTGACATTACTAAACAATCCCTCGAGTGGAACCCGAATGGGAAGAGGCGAGTTAGCCGTCCAAGGGTGACTTGGAGGAGGTGATGTGAAGAGGAGATGAAAGCATGTGGGCAGACGTAGAGCCAGGTGAAAACTTTAACACAGAACCGAACACAATGGAGACGTGCATCTGAAGCCCTATGTTCCTCTAGGAATTAAAGGAAATAATAATAATACTTGACAGGCTTTTGATGGAGAGTAATTTACTTGGAGTTGTACAAGTTTTCATCCGGTCTGTAGTTCATCAGGGTCCCACTCAGCCAGTGAAGCCTCATTTTAGAAGATTTCTTTGAATAGACAAAATACACACTGCAATCAAGTAACAGAGGAGTGTTACGGCATGTCTAGACTACCTTTTGAATAGGCTTATCTTTAATGAAATGACTTAACGAAAAGCATAGACAGAAGCTTCTTCATGATACATATCATGTGAAAACATACTAAATTTGCTCTTTCCGAAAGATGATAAACAGTATTCCATAACTCCCCATAATTGTATAGACATATGAACGACACTATACAACTACTTGGCTTATGAAAGAGTTAAATCACCCATATCAATAAAGACATCTTACCTGGAGAAAAAGCCAGCCTGGATTTAGTTTCTAGTAAAATCTTCCCATCTACTGAAAAGGCTGGCAAAGTGAACTGTTCAAAGAAGACAATGTCGTCACGATTATATCCAAAATAATCAAACGATTCAAAGAATTGTATAGTCATTTCTTTGGTGTGTTCGGAAGTCATAATATACCTGAATACGAGTAAAATAAGATTATAATTCTATTTTATTTTTAAATAAATATCTGATATACTACAGTATAGAATCAGAAGTTCCACATAGATACTTCTGAAAGCAACCAAAAGTGGCAACTGAAATCATAAAACTAAACGAATCATTCACATTAACAGAAGACACAACAGTTACTAAATCACTAGTATCTAACAACACTAACAATCGACACAATAAAGAAGTGTTTTAGGTCTTATTCTGTATATATTTTACTTAAATTTATTAGGAATTAGTTATCAGGTACATGCTGTGAGCCACTTACAGTGTAAGGATTGATGTTGTTGCCCAATTGACGAAGCTGAGATTCAGACTTCTGAACCCCTGGTTGAAAGTTAAACGATAAAGTCAGTGAACTACACATCTACTACTCAACCAGCACACAGAAGTAAAAGCTGGTTTTTGTATTATTTTGGTTTAAAATACCAGATAGTATAATAATAATAACAGCTTTATCCCAAACAGTATTTGTGGTACGGGTATGGAATTTTCAGCGTGCATTACAATATATTGCATCTAATTACCTCATAAATTTACAAATTTTAAAATCAAAAAGCAACAACCAAAAAAAGAGATAAATAAATAAAAAGAACAGCGTTCCGTTTACATTTTAAACAATGCACCACAGGATATGAAATATAAAGTTGATGCGTCAGAGAAGATGAGAACAACAGTATAATAGTAACGAGGAAAGGAAAACAAAATCTAATGGGACTATTTGTTAGAATGCCGCAGTAAATTGATCGTGTCATACCTAACGGATTTCTCATCACATAACAGCTGTGCCAGATATGGTAGGTATTGTGGAGTTTTTGTAATTGGTAGTCCTTGCATATAGCCTCCTATAGCTGCTTCTAGTTCTACCAGATCAAATACAAGGAGATAGCTGTGCATAGAGAGGAGGCTAGGGGTTGAAAATATTGTATTCGCTAGTTTATTACATGACATTATATGTCTATCCACAATAGTGTTAACCAGTTGGTTTAACGATATCCCACTTGCCCTACTGACGGATTTTAGTGCCCCTCTCAGCAAAGCAAAGTCTTTCTTAAGTAGTCCAGGAAAGATTAATGGGGAGCAGTAAAGGGGGATGGGTAGAATACAAGAATTGACAAACTGAGAAATTTCCTAACGTAGAACGTTAAGCGAAACATCTTTCTAGTAACTAGCAAGATGTGGGAGGACCAAGAAAGATCTGTGGAAAAACTCAGCCCAAGGTACTTGACATTAGATGTATTTTCAACCTCTCTGCCGTCAATGATAGTGGGGCCTGTGAGCTAGCTAGTTGTTGTAGGTCACGTTTACGTCTGAAAGTGAAATTGACTACCTGACATTTAGACGGATTCAGCTTAAGACTGTTTGAAGAGGACCACTGACTAATTTCCGACAGAAAGTTATTTAATTTGGAACAATCTGACTGAGAGTTGACAGGCATAGAAACAGAGAGGTCATCAGCATACTTAACAAAAGTGGCTGCATCAGAATGAGGCAAGTCATGTAAGAAAAAAGAAAACAGAAAAGGAGAAAGAACACCACCTTGAGGAACACCAGCTAAAGTAAGTGAGGTAGTGGTAATATATTACTCCCTTACTGTTTACTTGATAAATGAACCTAATTGGGGATGCTAAACAAATGACTATTGGGACTTTATGTTTTCAAACTTTTCAACAAATTTAGTGTATCGCTATCACTGATACGAAACATTATTTAGTCACTACAAGCGATTTTTTCTTTTAGATGGAACACTATTTTTATTTTTTTATTACAGCTTGATTCCACACAGTACTTTTTGGTAGAAGTATGGAGTTTCCAGCATGTGAAATCAGTAGCCCAAATTTTGCAGGCCGACCAATCGACATCAGGTGTGCGTCGGCAGAGGATCGAACCCCGGACCATGTGCATGGTCGGTGAGAATCCTAACCACTGTGCCACCGACGCACTACATGACTTGTATAGTCTGGTTAGTCACTTGTCAGCCTAGCCAACTTTGTAAAGGACATTTAAACCCAAGCACAGATTACAAACAAATGAATAATGATAACTCACCAAGTTATTGAAGGAGTTATCCCCAATTTTTCTTTACACATATGAGAAACACGACAAAGACGTTCAGCTTGAATTTGATATAATGAACGACCAGAGGGAAGATTAGGTTTATATAATCCTTTAGGATAAGAAACACCTAGCCTAGTTCCTTGACCACCAGCCAACAATAAAACTGCTACTTTGTTTTCACTGACCGCCCGCAAAGCTTGACAAATATTCAGTGAATCCAATAACACAGCAACTTACCAGAATCAGCATATTGTTTTAACAAACACGGTTGTGAGGTGCGCAATTCTGAAAGAGATCCGCATGATTTTGGATCAGGTGGTGAAAATATATCAGCGCTCGTCGAACAGGGATTACTAGCATTCTATTAAAGAGATAGATACGTTACACACTAGTTAATCATTGGAACAACAGAACTAGTTATACAGAAAGCACAGAAGGTGGAAAATGTGTCTGAATAGTGTTCAACATTTTTACTAATGAACAAACGCGAGAGTATATCTCAAAACGCAGTATCAGTAAGTAACAGTGTAGTTTTACAGAAAATTAGGATCCTATAAATCTCTTTTGAAAATAAAAAATTATAGCATTAGCGCACTATGTTCAAAAACTTAGACTATCATCACTTACTCAGGGAACAGATTAACGCCAAAAACCTACACATAGGCTAACTCACATTTAAACTCTAACACCAAATGTAATTGGACACAGAGAGGCTTAACTATGTCAGAAAAGGAGAAAATACTAACATAGGTCTGAATATTAAAAAGTTTGAACAAAAACGTGGCAGTTTAAGTTGCCGAACTTAAAAATGCATACGAAATACATAAATACAATGACACTTTAATTGCCAAGAATATATGGTAAAGGATAAACAAACAAAAAGTAATGAATGAAATTCACAATTTCGATGATACGATATGTAAATCTACACTATTGTCTACGATTTTCAGCCATACGTCTAACAGTCTTCAAACGTCGACTTTTACTACCCAAGGGATCCTAGAAGAAAATCCGATCATGGCTCATAAAATAAACAAATGACTTCATAGATTTATGCTGTCTTCATTCGAGCACTCTCTATTCAATCTTACTTCAGTTTATAATACCTAGCCAAGAAGGGGAGTACTCAGCAAGTACGCGTCCTAATCACTTCAATCAAAACTGCTCCAAAACCTATTTAGCGACGTACATAACATGTCAATATAATTTTAGAGTTTCACTTATTATGTTGATCAATTTGATGAGAACATATGAGTGCGATCTCTTACATTTGAATATATACCTTCTGCTTTCAGAAAACACGTCTCAGTGTGAACGGATAAGCGGTAGTTCATGCGTTATTTGATAGGCAGTTAGATATCATGACTGCGGAAAAGTGCCTGAAGTTGAGAAATATCAAACAAGCCGACTGTATCAGTACTAGGATTTAGTCAGTCTATTATGGCTAACATCATATAAACAAATCTGATTCTCCAGATTTCATCAAAAAAACTCTTTCTCAAAGACATGAATGACAAGTGGGCTACACCTGTCTAATGGAAATACACTACACGGGAACACTCAGTTTATCACGGTTAATAATTCACCACTACTACTCTATAACACTTCTGGAGTCAAACCAGCAGATTGAGCTGGTCTTCTTGGTTTATGTTAGACAGTTTTTTTGACTCTGGCTGAAGCTGATGGACCAACATCGCCGACCAAATTCAGCTACGGTTGGGTAGTTGGCCAGTTCATTGGTCAAACTGCCTTTTGAAGTATTCTGCACAACTTTCCTGACGTTTTTCCTGGGAAGTGACTTAAGTTTCTAATATCTTTCAGAGTTTCTCACTTTTGATACTTTTCCTAGAGTGGTGAATAGCAAAAACAAAAACGATGGAAAACAAAAACAACGATAGATAACACGACATAACTATTTAAGCTTATTTGTAAGGTGGGACATAAAACCTCAGTGAATGAAGACACCAGTCCTCTAAGTTACAAAAGCTCCCTCCCTAGTATGCGCTCCGCAGGATGAGGCTTTGAAAACCCACTGGTTGTCAGTGGCTTTTGGTTGAAGGTTATCGTGGTCTCTACCGCCACCCAAATGACATTTATATCATTGACTCATACAATATAGGTTGTTGCAGGCTCAGTAGCCTCATCAAAATGCTACCTATCAGCCTGGTTCTGCAGATCAACAAAATATCTTCAGACAAAGACCTGCTCTTTGAATCAGAGATACCTGTGCCCTGTACAAATACAGAGAGATACGGCTGAAACTTTGATTAAATACAATGTATTATGAATGTTACAACACAATTGAAAGTTGAGGACAACATATAAATAACGCAAACACTTGACGAACAGTGGAACACAGACAACACATATGGAATGCGTATAAATAGAAACCATTTTTGAATCCAGAAGACATATGGACAAGTGAAGTTTTTGACGAAAAGTGAAACATTCCAAGACAATACATTCACCATATGACAACGGTGAGGCAGTATTACTTATTTCGTAATTTCCAACACACGGAAAATAGTTTGACTCACAAAAATGAGAATAAATTTAATATTCTCAGAAAACTGCTGGTTTAAATGAACATCTTTACTTCATAATAAGTAAAATTACACGAAAACATAACTACATCCGCACATAGAAAGAATTTTAAAAATTTTATAGTCACTCTAATTTGTATTACACACTAACGCAAACAAACCATATGTTAAATAATAAGTATTATGTTTTTATTCAAACTCACTCTTAACATACGGTCAATGTTAGCAAAATTTAGTCTGGATATATTTTCCAAAAGTTCAGACTTCTGTTTAGCATCAAGCTCATCCCAGAAAGCAAATAAGTGGCCTTGTCCGTACTGTTCTGCATCATTTTTTAATCGTACTAAATCCAACATGACGAACTGAGCGCCACAGAAACAACCTTGACAGACTGAATTGGACGTAATCTAGGTGATATAACGTAACAACATTAAAGCTAAAACAAAGAGATTCAGATTTTGATTTTTCTACTGAACGCAGAAAACATCAAGCTTGTGTGTTCTTTTTTTACTAAGAATTTGTATGTCTATGGACTCCAATATCCAGAATCGTTTTTTTGAGCTAGTATAAACCAATTTGATTTCTTTGTGTTCGCCTCTTGATTGTGAGGTATAGGCTCTTGATCTTCGGTAAACTTCTGCGTAGCTCGCCTCGCCACACAACTATCGTAGCTTTGGTTGACTCCAAAAAGGGTAGTGCTGCGACTAATTATATGTGGTTTTAAGTATGAGGTGTGTTAGGGCTGTTACTACTATGAATGGTGTTGATCCTTTCACCAGTTAGTACTCCGGTATCGTCGTCAAAATAAAAGAGATAATAATAGAAATAATTAGTGAAGTTATTCAGACTAACAAACAGAAAAAGAGATAAAAAACGTAACAACAGTCAGCTGATTAAATTTGAAGTTTATATATATATATATATATAAGACGGAAGAGAATATGAAGAAGTAAAACGACGAACTTAGTTGTCTACCCCTGAATGGTGTGTGGGATTTTAAGGGGATAGGCCATTTGGACGCAGTCATTGCGCGGCTGCATGATTGTTCAGCCTTCGCTGAAAGTCGTTCACAGTCGGTGCCATAGCTACATCTGTCGGTAAGGAATTCCAGGGAGGGCAAACCCCACAGTGAAAGAAGCGGGAGTGCACCCGGGTCCTTGCCCTCCGGTGAGCTATACATCTGGGATTTACACGAGGAAGCCTATACCTACTCAATGGCAGAACACCTTTGTTTGGGTGATTCTGGTCATTCGTTATTTTCAAATCCTTGTATCATTAGTGTGAGGGACTGAAAGGTTCCCACGGCATGATAGGCTATGGTTAAATATCGAAAATGTCGAAGTGCCACTGATTAGAATTTTCGTGAAAATTCAGGGGCCCAGTTATTCCAATATGATCGTAAATAACTAGTGTATCCCGGAATTTATTTCCGTTCCAATAGTACGCAAACCATAAGAGAAACAGAGCACTAAATAGTACTTGGTCTGTTTTGTGACCATGATGAGTGTCACGCTGAGTGGTGTTAAACGCTTTCGCGAAATCAAGTAAGACTACATGGATTCTCATACATATACATATATCATCATGACGTTCACGTATTTCCTCAAGTAGGTTTCTGCTGTAGGATCCGATTCCAACTGTTTTCACCAGTCGTTTATCATAGTAGAAGCGCATTAACTGTCCAGCCAATCTTACTACATAAACTCAGCGAGCGGTTTCAGTTGTTGCACCAAAAACATTAACATCCATGGAGAGTGAAACGATTTATGCTTTTAAGGAGATATGAGTAATTAATGGACTGTGGAAGTAGTGTAGAATTATTCAGATGAAAGAGACAGAAATGTGAGTTAAGAGTTACGAAAGATTCAATGGTAGTGATGTTACATTTGTGCAGTTTAAAACTCTGGAATTACATGCACTATGCAAACAGTTTTACACATCAAGGTTAACTTGTGTGTGCTGAGCACTGAATACTGGAGCCGTAGATCTTAAGGATTTTGTGGGTGAACATTGTAATATGGTGTTCTTTCAGTTTGCAAGTGACGTGCTCTCTAATATCAACGATATCCGGTACTGAAGTTTATCCACACTGTCAGAAGTTTTGATGTGGTTTTGTTCTCTGAGCTGGATAGTTAGTTTGCGAAGCTTTCATCACCTTACTGGGTGACATCTTCAGCGCATACTTCAAATTGAAGTATGCGCTGAAGATGTCACCCAGTAAGGTGATGAAAGCTTCGCAAACTAACTATCCAGCTCAGAGAACAAAACCACATCAAAATTATCCACCTGAGCTACAAATCTTCTCTATCATACACTGTCAGAAGTATTACATTCCACCATTTTCTGTAGGTCATTAGTTTTAGGCACCTTATTACTGCTAATTTGAAACAAAGAGCTTGCTGCAGAGCTTCTCACGTTAGAGGCATGAATTACATCCGATTTGACTTGTGGTCCGAATTACGCAGTTTTTTTTTTTTTTTGATTTACAGCTTGATTCCACACTGCATTTTGGTACAAGTATGGAATTTTCAGCATGGATATCGGTAGCCCAAATTTCGCAGGCCGACCATAGATATCAGGTGTGCGTCGGCGGGTGCTCGAACCCCGGACCATATGCGTGGTCGGCGAGAGTCATAACCACTGTGCCACCAACGCACAGGCAGTGTCTATTTAACGTGGTAAGAATGGCACAAGTCCAGGTTTTTCTGATAGCACAGCTCGTAAACTCGTAGCCTTTAGTGGTAAGAAGGTGTTAGGTGGGAAAATAAATAGCCATGATTTCGCGACGAGGGGCGTGATATCGTATTAGCTTCCTAGACAAGGCAAGGGTGTTGCACAGATATCATCCCTACGCTTCTGTGATAAGGACTTGATAACCATACCAGAGGCAAAAGTAGATATTCTGAAAGAAAGTTTGACGTTCTGGCGCACGATTTGGTAGCGTCTGCTATGATCACATTCATTCCTTAAAGTTCTTCAGTATCTGCAAGACTGTTGACAGTTTTGAACTTACTTTTGGTTGAATTTGTCGCTGCGGCTGATGTATGCACGCAAACGAATTAAATACCGGTAATTAATCACCATACCAAGAAATACTCGCAGAGGTTCGACGAAATTCGACACTGGAATGAACTTAACACTATGTACGTTTTCAGGCAAACAGTAAATGCTATTTTCATCGACTACATGTCCCACTAAAGTCAGTGAATGGGTGCTAATCAGGCACCTGGTTAGAATAACTGCTATTGAATGCTGTGATGTCTTGGCGAAAACCTATCGTGGGGATCTACGACGAAAATTCTTATCTGAAAGAACCTCAAGAGTGTGGACCAGATAAGTAAAGGAGAGGTTAAGTCCACGCAGGAAATCGTGAATACAACTCTGGAAAAAGGTTAGTGATGTCCTTTTATGTCGTTTAGATGAAGTGGAATCCGAAGGTAGACACATGTTAGGTCAGACTTACAGAGAAGAGATGCACTGAAGTCATTCTTTTGAGAAACTGGAGAGCGATCTTGCACTTTTTTAGCCTTAAGCCTACAACAGTTATCACAAAGCTTCTAAACTAAGCATGGTAGGGTGAAGGCTATGGGTTGCTGGAAGTTCTGATTATGACCGATTCAAGTATGTGATCCAAGGCTATCTCTATGGGTTAAAATTCTTACAGGCGGGTCACGATATCATAAGAGAGATTACAATCCACTCAAGATATACCATGCTTTGGTTTGAATCACTCATAATGCATACAGACAGAAAGTTTCAGAGCTAGCAGTGTTTCCACAGGACATCGACGGATACACAGAGTTTTGCAGCAGTATCAATAAAATTATTCCCATTAGCATCTAATGTGAGCTGATAATAACATAAGAGTACTATCAAGAATTGATATGAGAATCTACATTTAGCATACTTATTTCATATTTTTCAAATAATGCCTGTTAAGTGATAAAGGATCGATATTAAACCTGTCGACTGACTTCGTCTTTTTTCGAGTCTCTCTGTATATTATTATGTTATTATTATGTACTACTTGGTATAATCTAAATTCATATTCACCCTGGTTCATTGTGTATTCTCTTGATTCCTGATTACCGTGGTCTTAAGAGTCGTGTGGATTATTATCAGACAAGTAATTTGAGGTAGATAAAAAACGGACTCGGCTATCGCCTAGCTCGACACGAACCTATCAGAAACTATCAAAAACGATATCAGCAATTATTGTTTTTGATAGAAGACAATTCTTTTGGACCAAAAATACCTTTTATCTATTCAATAACCAACTCACCTTCGGCGCGAATGATATTAAAAGGCAAATGGGAATTTCAAAGTCTTATTGTTCAACCAAGAATAACCAACACATTACTTCAGCAAAGCAGCGGTGACATCATCCAGTTCTCAGCTTGTTACTAAAATGCGCTAAAAATCACAAAAATAAACCCAATAAAATACGTACTACTGCCTGTAACCATAGTGGCCTGATCTCCCGTCAAAAGGCAAGAGTTAACACTTCGGCTGGGACTGTTACCTCCAGTGGAAAATGAGACTAGTTCGAATAAACAAGGTAATTGAACATCTATTCAGTGTTCAGCAATACTGAAGAGGTCAATGCCGAAAATGCTGGGGGTTACAGTAGTCACAATGCGAACCGATTAGGCTGAAAATTGAGGAGTGACTGAAACCTGGTCGATACTGAAGTTGTTCTCAGAAGTATTGAGAAGGTAGGACTTGGTGAAGTGCTACTGTAAAACTCATATACATAAAATCAATAAAAAGTAAACTCGCAGACAAAAATGAGGATCCAACCTTTTGTGCAAGGGTAAAAACAACACAAATAAATCACCTAAAAAACTGAACCATTTACCAGATAAAGCAAAGAAATAGTAGTCACAACCACCAGTTGCAAATAACCAGATATGTTGTTATTAGTTAACACTTAACCAGAACTACTAAACTTGTTGTGCTTCGGTACCAGCCTAACAAATGACTTACGGAACCTGTAACTACTGATAAAAGGAGACAAATCAAAAGAGACTGAATTTTTTAGCAACATGTTTTGAGGAGCCATATATTTAAACAGAATTCTAAGGGAAATGCTTTTGACTGAGCTTGGGACCATGAAAATATGCGCGTTGACCAGCACAAGACAAAGTGTGAAATTATGTAAGAGCCTATTTGGTTACAATCATGTTAAGATAATACTTAGAGCACCTGAAGCATCTGTAGATGAGTTGGAGGAATTTAAATGGCTTTACTGTGAGAAATTCGTTCGTATGTAGCATCGAATTCTCAACAAAGCATCCGATCCTTGTGTAGAAGCTTGTGTAGGTAAACTAAAAGTCGTAGTATATCATCTAAAGCAATATTGTACTTTCCAAATCACGCTGTAATAAATTACAGT